TAAGACCCCTTTCTTATATTTATCAATTTTCTCTAAATTACCCCTATGAATATTCCCTCAACCATAATCAAGTAAAAAAGGGAGATGGGGTATTAAGAAAAATGATTATGATGTTTTAGGAAAAATGTCTCACTTTTCTTATAATTAACTAACTTACCTAACTTCCTTAATCTAATCAAATTAGTTAAATGGGTCTTATATTAAGGACCGGAGGAGTAATATCTTAACGAGCATTAGTTCTGGTTGCCGGTAAACATTACTTTTAATTTATAAAATAAAATAGGGTTAAAAGGTAGATTGGATCAAATTGGGTAAATGTATAGTTTTATAAAGGACTGGATTGTTTTTTCAACAGGAAAAGACTACTGTAAGATGTAAATTTCTGGAAAAGGATTTTTATATGTAGACGATTAAAATGAAAAGGTATATTTTATCTTAAAAATAAAATTTTGAATATTTTCACACTCATAATTTATAATTTTATGTAATGTCAATATATACTACCTATGTACTACCACTATATATATTGCTGAGTTACATGGTCATTAGTATAACACCGCCTACGGTCTTTGATATAAGAGTTAATAACTAATTTATAAATGTTAAAAAAATTATTAGTTAAGTTAGCTATTTGTAATAAATACATATTGTCTTTCCTAAAACATCACTATTAATTATGTGTATTAGAACTACCATTTGATAAAAACTCGTTAAAATTTGCAATTATCATAGAGATTATTTCAGGACAAAATGGATAAATATAATAGACAAAACGAATTAAAATTTTATATTTAGAACCAAATAAAATCTCCAAATAACTCTTATATCAAGGATCATAACTTGATGATTTCACGCGTTATGGGACAGCATCGATTTGAAATAATAAAAAATTAAAGGAAAAAAAAAAGGGAGCAGCACATGACACATTGATACGATGTGAATTGGTCATTGGTTGGTTTCCTTCATTGGATAGTTATAAACTTATAATAATCACCAATATAATATGCCTCCGCAGGTAGAGTCCCAGCTCCAATCAATTACGTTGGAATTCACGGGAGAAAGCACATGTTTAGGAATATATGCCCACTCTAATTTGTGTTATCTTAATTATGCTTTCTTTACAAATAATTCTTATATCTTGAACACCAATCATCTCATCTAATGACCTTGCTTATCATGCCGGTTCATATGGTTGATTATGTTGAATATACATATATAGCCAGACCCTTTTTCAATGATCCCATGCTCTTTCATTAGGATTCTATATTGATTTTCTTTCTTTTTTTTTAAATGAATGAGAGACTTCTCCTAAGTTTTAACTAAATTATCATACTTCTTTCAGTCTTAAATATAAAATTTACTTGTAATTTTATATTTAAAGCAAATTTTATATTTAAGACCGGGATAGTATATAACAATTATGATTTATTTTCCATCGTTTGTTTAAGTAATGAATGATTTTCAAAGCAAGAAGTAATTAATGATTTTAGGAAAAATCACAAAAATACTTTTAAAAAAAATTGTAAATAGGAACTCGTCACAATATTAGTATTGGTTTTGACAGCAATTGATGAGAAAATAATAACTATTTTTATGAATGGGTCCCTGTATGTAATTTTTTAATTTATAAGATCTTTTTTTACGATTTTCTCATGATCTTACCACCTAGCTAACTTGAATTTAACAATTTTAAATTAAAGATGAGTATTTTCTCCCCTTTTGTTTAGACACGCAGGTTTAGTTAAAAAAAAAACATCTTTTAAATATATTATTAATAAAACTAAGAAAACTTTCAAAAATAATTTTCTCTAGGAAAGCTTAAAAGCGATGAAATAGTGCTGGCGAAAGGATCCAAAGATCTCCAATAATATTAAAAAAATGGCCATTTGAATAGCTGGCACGCAAATTATATTAAAAAAAACACAATATTATTATGGTAATAATTGAGATCCAAAAGCTGCAAAAACAAAACCCACAAATCGTGTGTGATTCCATTAAAAAAAAACTAACAATCCAACATTGAAGATGGCCGAAATCATTATACAATGAATTGATAAGATAACATATACTTTTGATTAAGATTAAATACCACCCCGAACACTACACTACCCGTATCCTATTGAAGAGTAGGTGACAAAACGTTCTCGTAATGCAATATATATAGTATCATGATCCTTCATATAAGGGTTGGTTAATTAATCTAAATAAATTAAAAAAGTTTACTGAGTTAATTATTTGTAATAATTAGTAGTTATTTTTTCTGAAATATTCTTACTAATCATGTGCATTAACTATAACCATCATTTGATTGAACATTTAACATGCGCAACTACTACAATGACTACTTTAAACAAAGTGATAAACACGAGACACAAAGTAGATTAACATCTTATATTTAGAATCAAATTGAAAGTTAGGCTAACTCTTATATAAGGACCAATACAGTACTTCCTTAAAATAAAAGTTTGACATTCATTTTGGTTCTAAATATAGATACAATCTGTTTTGTTTCTCATATTGATCTATTTCTTTTAAAGTGTCCTTGTAGTAGTTACATATGTTAAATGTTTCATCAAATAGTAGTTTTATCTAATATACACAATTAACAAGAGCATTTTAGAGAAGATAACACCTGTTTATTACAAATAACTAATTTAACAAACTTTCTTAAGTTACTCAAATTAATGAACTAACTTTTATATTAAGGATGAGAGATAATATTACCTAAGACCAATTTTTATTTACTTATTTTTTTTTTACAGGTCTCTTAGTTCTATTTATATGAAATAATAACCTTTTGTCCGGAGCATTTATAATTTTTTATACCCTCACTAGAATGGAATATTTATTGATGAGATTAATTAACTATTAAAAACCATAAACTAATTATTAAATGGGGGTAATTATTTAAATAATTATATTTTAAACATTTTTTTGCCAACAATAATTATATTTTAAACACAAACCAACGGTTGACTACATTTTTAATTCTTGAGAATTAGTTACTCATCTCCGCCAAGGAAAGGAAGAGTATTTAATTATTTTCTAACAATTATATTTTGCGCAGTAGTCAGCCTGTATATTAGTTGGTTGGCGAAAAGAAAAACAAAACGTAGAGATAAGTTGTCGATCAAAGAGTAGGTCCAAAGGATAAGAACACTAAATATTCTAATAAGAACGTATAATTAAGTGGAAACGTCCCTGTAAACCGAAATAAATAAATGGATGATTACATAAGAAATTAGTTGTCTGTTAATTACGTGTATGACTTTATAAACAACAAGGGCCAGGTGGTAATATTTTGAAAGAAATTGAATCAAATTGCCTAAAATTAATGCTTTTATTTTTGCCGCTAAAATTAGTTAGCGTTTAAATCCAAATCACTTGCAGAGATTAGGTTACTAAACTACGTGCTAAAGCATTGTTTATACTAATCCGGGGGGTGTGGTTGAGTGGTAGGAGCTCATCCTCCCTTAACCAGGTGTTGAGGATTTAATCCTCACCTCGGATATGGAAAAGCTTTAAAATCTACTTTTTTTCTTTTCAAAATATATAACATAATTAATAACAAATCTAAAACAATTTACGATATACAGAAAGGAAGAATAGCATCTAATTCCTTCAAGTTTTGCGTTACTGGCATGAAATTTCTTCGACCATTAAATTATATTCCCTCACGTTGTTATTTTTATAAGCGATCAGCAGTAATTTTACATAAATTAATGAAATTAGTTTCCTCTGATAAAATATCAAAATCACGCCTCAATAGAAATTATTAGTCAGAAAATTTGATTAATTAGTTATAAAATCTTATAATTAGTTAAGTATTGGAGGGAATAATAAAATATAGAGAAAATTGCAGATAAGACCTTTCAATATATGAAATTGTAATTTAGGACTCTTAATTTGAAAAATAGCAGATAAAGACCTAATTTCATATGAAATTTTGGTGAAATGTCTGAAATTTTGGTGAAATGTCTGAAATATCCTTTTGCCAAATGACAAGTTGACTATGGAAAATAACAAATTTACTCTAACGAATAACAACTTCAACAGATTAAATCACAATTTGGTTGAGAGGCATTTCAGAAATTTCACCAAAATTTCATATTTGTAATATAGAACTGGGTCTTTATCTGCTATTTTTCAAATTAAGGGTCTCAAATTATAATTTCACATGTTAGGGACTCTTTATTTGTAATTTTTCCTAAAATATATTATATTGTGAAATATGTAAAGCTTTTATGAAAAGGACAAAAATACGAGGGAGTGCCAATGAACTGCGCCAATCTAAAAGGGTAATTTCTTCTACGGTAATTAAGCTAACAAATTGTATATCTTTGTATGAGTAGAGAGTTGCAGACTACCAGACCAAAAAAAAAAAAAAAGAGTTGCAGATTAATGGACAAAATAAATCGATACCCTTCTAATGCGATGAGAATTAAATTCCAAATCAGCAATTCCAGCGTTGTTATTTTGAAGTTAAGCATAGTCAAAACAAGTTGAAGTACAGAAAATAATCTTGATTTGAGATTGAGATTAATAATTTTTAATTTTTTTCAAGATTTTCTGTTTAAATAATGAGTTGTTAATGTGAGTGGGGTATTCGGTAACAAAATTTAGATCACATATACTGACAAATGTGGATCTTAATCTCATATAAGCATTGTTTTGTCGTCTTGTTCGATTATTTATACTCCTCCGGTCCTAATTATAAGACCCAATTGATTTATTTGAGGAGATTAAGGAAGTAAGTTAAGTTGGTTATTTATAATAAATAAGTGTTGTCATTCCTAAAATATTCTTACTAATTAAGTATATTGGCTAAAACTATCATTATTAGAAGGATTATCTTGGAAAAAAATGCATAAATATAAGAGACAAAATGGATTGGGTCTTATAATTAGGACCAAATAAAAAGTCAATGGGTCTTATAATAAGGACCGGAGGAGTATCATAAACAAGTACATGGCCGCCGTGGCTGGCGCCTTTAGACAGTGACGCGGGGGAGTCCTGGTGGGGAGGGGGGCGTGTCTATAGGCCGTTGTTGTTTTGCTTGTCTTCTTCTCTCCCACGTTCTGCGATCATCATTAAGCTGAACTACTACTTTCGCTTTGAAAACTTTCCTCATCTCTAGCTGCCTTAATTAGTTCCAATGGCGGCAGTGACAGAGATGCTATTTCCTTACAGAATAATGGCCGAAGAAAATTCTACTTCGGATTCTACTTCTCCGGAAGCTGAGTTGAATCCAACAGATGCAGTAATATTTGTAGGAGTCAGTCTGGCTCTGGGAATTGCTTGTAGGCATATTTTGCGTGGTACCAGAGTCCCTTATACTGTTGCTCTGCTCATCATTGGCATTGGCCTTGGATCATTAGGTTCGCTTTCTGATCATTCTTCATCCCCAGTCTTTGCTTGCTTCTCTTGTTTTGTGACAAATTTTGCTGTCCTCCTTCGGCATTCTGAACTGTTCAATACTGGATTTGAAATTTATATCATTAATTTTTTTTTTCTGGGTTGTTATAAGCAACAGAGGTTTGAAAATAATGAAGTATGAAGCTGATGCAAGAAGCTTCTGGGAGCTAGAAAACATCTGGTCTCAAATAGAATAGAAAGAGAAAAAAGAAATCCCCGATGATCATGGACTTTTGATCTTAATTTGCCTTCAATATTTTATTCATGACATTTGAAGAACTGATTTCATAAATTAGGCAGTGAGAACCTCTTTTTCTTTAATCTAAGTCCTGAAACTAACAAATCAGTAACAGACGTGCGAGACACCAAATAGTTTGTTTGTAGACGCACACCAACGGCTGTATGATTGATCCAGTTCAATCTTTCTCTTGATCTAAATAAACTTGTACTGTTGCTTCATATGCCATCGACATGCCATCATGATATTGTTCATCATACTTGAAGCAGATCTAGAGAGTAGTTCAAGTCAGAATAGGTGATAAGGAATAATTCTCATTCCTTCTCCCCTGCGCATTTTTCAGTTAAATCTACAAAAAGATGCAAAAAGCAATGTTCTTTTTCTTCATCCTCTATGAATCTTTACTTAATTCTAAAGTTGCTTTCTGGCAATTTCTGTTTTTCCAATTTCTAACTCTTTGGGTCTTATATTACATTTATATGCTTAATCTATAAGCTTATTTAATTTTATGCTTATTTTTATATATTTATTTCATGCAAGTTGCCAGAGTTCTTTCATTGCTCTTTTAAGAAACTTTGCTTGTAAAACATGTCAAAAACGCGAGTTTTTGAATGCTAACAGTAACAACTCTAGTTCCTAAAAATGTGACATTTACAGTTCTGACCTAGGATTAATGAATAGATAAAACAGCGCATGTATCATTTATGCATGTGATATTTGAATTCAGAAGATAGAAAAACGGTGATTAGACATCGGGTGAATGTAAGTGATGTCACCAAGGTGATGGTTGTGAAGACAAAATGTGTGATATAGTCATTATTGTGTCAAAAAGCACAACTGTACTATTATAGTTTTATTAGTTCAGACAAAATCTTCGATTGATCTAATGTAAAAGCAACAAAATCCATTTTTATGATAATTACGGGTGTCTAATATGCCAAACAAAGTGATTTCCAGAGTCCTTTATCAATTTACATAGTATGCTCGTTTTCTTCATTTTCAAATTATCTGTCTAAGTTAGCTTGTCAGCATTCTTAATTGATTATCATGTCTATCCATAAAGCTTAAGTAGTTCTTTTTGTTCCATTCTTTGGTCCATTAAAGGCACCTTGGGTCTATGGACATCTTAAAACTTTCCTATTGTGAATTTGGCACTTCCAGATTTCTTCAGGTTGTCAAAACAAGCTACTCTTTGTTTATTCTTATGCATATTTGGTTGTGTCTTTTGATTTTGCCTATTCTTAAGATTACGAGTAAGTTATCTGACGAGCATTGGACTTCTGAACAGAATATAGTACTCATCATCAACTGGGAAAGATTGGCAATGGAATTCGTATTTGTAAGTTTGGACAACATTTCATTTTAGTTATTTCGAACTCTATGTACATGCCAATGGAGATAACTCAAACTCTTGGCGATTAGAGCTTGATTTAAACTCTCGGGAATTGTAACTTGATTTTGTCTTAAGCATCATTTTTTTGTTTGAATATTCTCTTAGTCAGGTTGCCTTCCTTGTTGGATGCATTAGAAAGACGGCACTAGATTACACCTGAGGAGAAGGAAATTCCTTCTCTAAAATATTTTGTCGTCTTGTTATTTCCTTCTGCTAGCATCATTATATTAACTGAATTGAAAAAAACTAGGTTGTCGTTGATGATCTTCTTGTTCCGCTGTATAAGCAGCTTCCTTTTCTTTGACTTCTGAACATTTGGAGCTGGGAACTTTTCCTGGCTAAAAAATTATATCTGTTGAATCAACTTCTCGTACCACTAGAAAAACAACTTAAGCATCTTTGGTTTTTCCTGCTTGTTGTTCAAAACAATTAGATATTAGCAATTTCCATATGCAGGGTCAACCATTGATCCAGATCTTCTGTTAGCTGTTTTCCTTCCTGCCCTCCTTTTTGAGAGCTCATTCTCAATGGAAGTTCACCAAATTAAGGTTTCTTTACTGTTTTCTTTCCTTGGAGCATCTGTAGTTGTATTTAGAGTTACAATATGATAATCTCAGACTGTTGTGCTTGACCCTTCCCCATGTATTCGTGCATGCAATGGTATCTCTTGCATGATTATGTGCAGGAACATCTATTCATTATATTTGACGTCTGTAAAAATTCACTCACCTAATTATGAATAATTTATGAACTAATTTTATGCTTTCCTAAATTTAAGTTGAAAACTGCAGTACATTTGGTTTTTTCCTAAGTTTTGAAGCCCCTGATTTATTGTTAATTAAATTAATAGAGAGAGGAAAGAAGTACTGAATAGAAAAGTAAAAGAATGATATGAAGGACAAGATATCCTTCTATATAAAATAGAAAAGAAGAAAGCTGAATGATATCACTTCAAAACAATTTATTGTAAACAAGTTCCTGTTGTTGGCAATATAGATAAAAGGTCCTGTCATTCGAAAAGGTAGAGGAGGAAAGACAGAAGAATGTTTAATCATCCAGCAGAGAAAAACTAACTGAACATGAAAGCCGAGGGTTTTTGGGGGACTTGTTTATTTGGGTGCATAATCCTAGACTCTTTAGCAAGAAATTTTTATGTTCGTACTTTTAATGGGATAGGAATGACTTAATTGTTTCCTTATGGGTTTGAGCGCATTGAGAAGGTTAGTTTGAGGGACATGCTGAAGGATGTGAGAACTCTTTGGGCTAATATTTTCTTCTATTCAGTTTGTACTTTTCCATGTTTCCTGTTCTTTTTTGCGATCTCCTTCCCTTCAGTTTATGTGATTCATTGTAAGCTCAAGTTCTTAGGTGAATACTTGGAGATTTGTTGTCTCTTAACATGCATTCTCACGGAAAGTTGAAAGACTGCTGCCTGTAAGTTTTAAGCATGGATAAGACAGATGGCCACTCTTTTCTTGTCTTAAAACGTAACCTAGTTAGGAGAATGGTGATGAGGACGATTGAAGTGACTTTGCTACTGTATGGAGAACCAAATTTTAATCTTGAAGCTTAAACTACTATGTTTTTATCTTTGACATTATGCATCCTAGTCTAGAATAAAAGCTTTCGTGTGGGCTGTCACTTGTCAGATAATACATGCAAATAGTAACTTTAGGCTTTGATAGTGATTAGGGAAAATTTGTAGGACAAGCCTTGAGGGTTTTGCAAGAAGGGGAAAACGACAGGTACAGAAGTGTGAAGAACTAAATTTATTTATTTATTTTTTGGTGAAATGAAGAACTAAATTTATGTATGCTTTAGAACCTTATCCTTTAATGGCCTAAACCTCAGGATGGGTCTAACACGGGCAATAGATGTATCCCATCCTTCTCAGACTTAAAAAGACATAAATCTTTTGTTAAAATGCTGCCTTCAACTATGTTTCTGAACTAGATCCTTTTCTCCTTAATTTACTAGCATCTCCAATTTCCCTGACTCATCTATTATTTTGTGTTGTATTGCTTTCTATTTGTTGACAGGCCTTCCTCCAACTGCAGTGAAATTCAATATTCTCTTCGTCTCAGAAATGAAAAATAACAAAAACTGAAACTAAAAAAATGTGAAATGAGTCGACAAATTGAGCCTGAAATTTTGCATATTTTATTTATGGGATTATTTTAAATTTAATAAGAAAAGGCTATCTTGCATGATTGTGTAGTGAGACTCTAAAATGGAAACCAAGAAATTGGAAACTCAGACAAGATTACATGAGTGACTAGCAGTGGTGCTATGATGTAATGAATTTATTAGCTGTATTATGCTTATTTACCAGCTTTAAGCTGTCTGATTTTCTTTTCTTCTTGAATTTTGCCGCAGAGGTGTATTGTACAAATGATATTACTAGCTGGTCCAGGTGTTGTTGTATCAACCTTCTGCCTTGGATCTGTTTTGAAGGTATATGAATTTATGTGCTTAGGTTTAGTCTTCCATGTCATTTTTTAATCAATTTTATATCATAATGCAGTTGACTTTTCCATATGGCTGGAGTTGGAAAACATCACTATTGCTTGGGGGACTTCTAAGTGCGACTGATCCTGTAGCAGTTGTGGCTTTGTTGAAAGAGCTTGGTGCCAGCAAGAAATTGAGTACAATAATTGAAGGGGAATCCTTGATGAACGACGGGTATTCAAATTTAGATGATTTCACTCTTATTCCATTTTTCTTCTTATTTGTTGAGGAAGTGGCTTAAAGACCTAAAAGATATAACCATGTTATTGTTTGTGCATGTGGTGATTCTGTGTCCTTTACATATTTTGTTTTTGAAAGTGCTTACATTTTTCATGTCCAGAACGGCAATTGTGGTCTATACTCTATTTTTTCGGATGGTCCTTGGAGAGAGCTTCAACTGGGAGTCGATAATCAAATTTCTAGCACAAGTTTCTCTTGGAGCGTAGGTTTCACCTTCTTCTTTATTGCATTGTTTGCAAAATTTCATCTTACTTAAATAATTATTTCCTTGGTCCAGTGTAGGAATGGGTCTTGCCTTTGGGATAGCATCTGTTTTGTGGCTTGGATTTATTTTTAATGATACAGTGATAGAGATCACTCTAACACTGACTGTTAGCTATGTTGCTTTCTACACTGTAAGTTGCCTTTCAGACCTGGTTGCTTGTTTTAGTAAGTTGAAATGTTTGCATATACGATATTCAACTTGGGGAACTTAAAATGAATTAAATATCAAATGTTTTGCTAATTTGTGTAAAAAAAATTTTAAACCAGGATGACATCATCCATGTCTTCACATCTTCTCACAACTCTCACCCTGTTGAAGTGTTATTGCAGTATTTTGTGATTGCATCAAGCCTTTGGGCTCTAATCATTTTAGCTCGGCTTATGTTAAGAAAAATAGGGAAAGCAAAAGTTAGGAAAAAGAAAAAGACAAAAATGTGCTGTTGAAAGTATTAAAAGTTTGAAACTGCACAAACAGCCCATTTATATTGTTGCATAGTGTCTATATTTGTCTATAGAAAACTTCAATGGTAATTTTTTTCCTGATAGGCTCAAGAAGGTGCTGATCTTTCTGGCGTTTTGACAGTGATGACACTGGGGATGTAAGTTGAACTTCTGTATGAAGCATCTTTATCACTTGAACTTTAGAAATCTTGTTATTGAAACTGTTGAGCAGGTTTTACTCTGCCTTTGCGAGGACAGCTTTTAAGGGTGATGGACAACAAAGCTTGCATCACTTTTGGTATGGGCTTGTGCTTTGTCTATATAAATTATAGGGGCATGTTATATTCGTGAAGCTTAAACTGTCAATGGAGCCAGATTTTATTTTAATTTTAAATTTCAATTGTTTTAAGAATTGACAATGATAGAGTGAAGGCATATTACAGTGTCATTGAATACTCACTAAACAAACACGCATTAACAGCACAACAATGCAGTACTAGAACCACAAGAGCAGTACAGTTTTCTACCTTTTGATGGGTTGGCTTTCTACCTAAAGGCTAAAACCCGACTAAAATTCTCTTCCTCTTTCTCCTCAGCCTTTTCTTTTTGTATACCCTGTCAACAGCCCTTAACTGCTCCCTCCTGCCTTTTTATCACAACTACCTTCTTTTGCCCCTCTACTTTTCTATCTTATCTGGTTTTTAACCTTTGTGCTTTCTTTTGGACCACTAGTTCCCCCTCGGTGCCCTTTTGCTACTCCCTTGTGCTTCATCCTGTATGTTTTGGTTGCAGCAGTTGGCGGGTTCCATCATTCAGTTCATTCAGTATCACCTTCTTTTGCTTTCTCATTGGAATTCTTGTTTATGTTCTTGATAGGATTGAGAATATCATGCAAGACCTCCTATGATAGGGTTTAGGAATGACATAGAACATTTAGTATATCATAGTGGTGTCTTCCGGGCTAGAGCATGTTGATACTCTTGCATTCTTTGTTTCTCTGCTTGCACCTTTGATGGGAATAAATTATTTTCTTGACCTCAGCTCCTATCTTTTAGTCAGTTCCTTTTACAGCCTTGCCAAGATTCTTATTATCATTTGTAACCCATTACTCTTATAGTTTGTTATTCATGCTCTCCTTCTTGGACTTTATATTTCCTTAATAAATAGTTTTAGATTAAAGGGCTACTCATTCTTGCTACTTGTTGGTTTTCTGTTTACTTTAGACATAAGTTTAAAGCCCTATTATTCTCTTATGTTTTCTCCAAATACTTTTTGTCTAAATATGGATAAGATGATGATAGGCTTGTGACTCTAGCAGTGCTGCAACTGTTACTGCAGAAGAATCCGGCTTTGGAAGTTACAATACTCATTCTACGTATGAAGCACAAAGATTTTAGAAAAGGAGCCATACCTGTTTCTAACATTGTTGGATCAATGGACACTTCTATTTTACATTGTCACAATGTTGGCATCTGTGTCATGTCCCTTATCTATGCCAGTGTCAATTCTTACATTTGTTTTAATGCCATTCATATTTTCCTTTATTATCTGTTTCAGAAAGTGAATCATTTTTCAATCCTTTCTTTTTCCCAGGGAAATGGTTGCTTATATTGCTAATACATTAATTTTCATATTGAGGTTAGTACTCAACCCAACTTTCAAATAAAATTAATCCACTGATGTGAGATTTTGAATAGGCTGCTCAGGTCTTTTTCAAATTAATGAATATATTTATATATATTAATTCTGGTTGAACAAAATTTTAAACAACTGAAGCATAACTTTAACATATATTATTTTTTTAAAATTTTTAACTGATTTTTTCTTTTTTTTTTTTTCTTTTTTGGCAGTGGAGTTCTTATAGCTGAAGGCATCCTTAATGGTTACAATGTTTTTGCTGATGGTACTTTTCACTTATTGAACTCTATTTGGATGTTTGTAGCATTATTTTCTTCTACCCCGTTATCTAAAAGAGGAAAGCCATTCCGGAATCTTTTTATATGCTAATAGGTGGTCGTAATCGGTAAAATATTATATATTCATATATGAGTGTGTGATGTTCATGCATCTCAAGCTCAATAGAGAATATTATACTTGCATTCTACAAGCATTTGTCTTTCCTCTGTCTGTCATATCTAGGGAAATGGAAATCTCAACTCAGAGAAGGAAAGAGATGAGAGGTCTTCAAAACTTTTACTTTTCTTTCAGGAGGATATTAGGTCCTGATGGAATCCCCTCAGGAGTTCTTTGGAATCATATTATGATTGTGCTAGAGCGCAAGTTTATGTAAATAGGCTACAATTCTGGAAATAAACACACACGGAGTCATCTTCCTGTCCCAAGCGTTACTCTTTATTCTTTACCCATCTTGACCCAAAACCCACAATATATAAACCCCCTCTCGCATGCACCTCAGACACCATGTGACTTAGCCATTTTCTATTGGTCATGGAGCCCACAGGGCCTTAGTTTGCTATTGCTCTTCACTATAAAAGTAATGACACTGTTTTTTTTTCCATCAATGACAGAAAAGATGAAGGGTAATGAGATTAAACTCAAATTAGCCATTGGCAATTTGCCTGTCCCTTGCAGAAATCTCAAGCAGTGACATTTTACAGCTGTGGTCGTTAAAAAACTATATAATAATGAATATATACTCCTCCGGTCCTTAATATAAGACCCAATTGTTGAGTTGGTTTTGGTTCTAAATATAAGACCCATTTCTCATATTTATCAATTTTCTTTTAAATTACCCCTATGGATACTCCCTCAACCATAATCAAGTAGAAGAGAGGAAGGGGGTATTAAGAAAGATGATTATGGTTTTTTAGGAAAAATGTGTCACATTTCTTATAATTAACTAACTTATCTAATTTTCTTAATCTAATCAAATTAGTTAAATGGGTTATGGGTCTTATATTAAGGACGGAAGAGTATATTGTATGTTTTGTAGTTTACTTCTACTTTTATCCTTGTTGAATCATCATTTGTACAAAATTTTTGTTGAGCATTACATTGGAAATTGTACCGAACGTATATGCTGATAAATTAGGATTTCTTTTGTTTGGTTTACTTGTCTTAGTAGGATTAAGATTATTGAACTTACCTATATAATGCTTAATACATGCAGATGGAATTTCATTCTTTATCACCAAATTGATTATTGATGAAGTGTTTTTGGTTATGCTTGGGTTGGGGGGAGGGTTTAATTGAAACCTTTCACTGGTAGTTTTAATAAGGGAAGGGTAATGAAGTATTTCAATGAATCTCATAAAATCCTTATTTTTTTTTTCTTTTAAATTCCCCAATTCAAGAGATTGTGGAGAGCTTTATTGAAAGGGGGAGGGTAAATTATCAGTTAACCATCCTGTTCTCTTCCTTCTGTTCCCATCCTTTTCTTTTGGATTTTTTGTCTATGCTTCTCCTAACTTTCTTATGTTTCTTTACTCTGTAACACACAACATCACTGAGATAAGAATGATTCAACCGAGATGCTTTAATGGTTAAGCTGATGCTTTTCTTGATGCTCTGTTGTTATTGTCATTTGCTTCCCTTTCTGGTAAGAAGGCCTCTGTTTTCCCCTGGTTACCAAGTGTAAGAAGTCTTTCCACTTTGTAAACCTTGAGGAGTGACTCCAAGCTAATGTATTCGCCACAGAAAATCATGGGCCTACCTCTTTCTTCTCTATGCTTATGTTCAAGCATCTAGGTGCATAGTAGTTGGAATACTTTTTCCCTTCCTACGTTACTTTGGATATGGTTGGAGTGGAAAGAAGCTGCAATTCTTATCTGGGCAGGATTGCGAGGCGCAGTTGCCTTGTCATTATCATTGTCAGTTAAGGCAAGTATACATGGACTTGCGGTGGCAAATTGATTTCTGTTAATTACTACCAAGATCATTG